ACTGACTTTGACATACACAAAGTCACCTACTTGAAATTCCACAAACCTGTGCTTCTGATTGTAATACTTCTATTGTCGATCTTGTGCATCTTTCAATCTTTCTTTAATCAAGTTGATTTTCTTAACAGTTTCATCCACAAATGTAGCACCCATTTCTTGTCTATCTCCTACCTTAGTCAGAGTCAAATGAGTTCTACACTTCCGGCCATACAAAGCTTCATAAGGTGACATACCAATGCTTGACTGAAAACTGTTATTATAAGCAAATTCGATCAAAAGAATATGATCTTCCCAGCTTCCTCCAAAATCCAAAACACATAATTGCAGAAGATCTTCCAAAACTTGGATAATCCTCTCAGACTGTCCGTCAGTCTGCGGATGAAAAGCAGTACTGAAATGCAATCGCGTACCCAATCCTTGCTGAATACTCTTCCAAAGTCTGGAAGTAAACCGTCCGTCTCTATCAAATACAATCACCTTTGGCACACCTTGCAATCTGACGATTTCTTTCACATATACCTGTGCCAACTTATCCACCGGATCCATCTGCCTGATCGGGAGAAAATGTGTAGACTTTGTCAATCGATCCACAATCACCCAAATAGCATCGTGCCCTTGCCTTGATCGAGAAAAACCCATAACAAAATCCATCGTTACCTCCTCCCACTTCCACTCAGGGATAGGCAACGACTGCAAAAGACCTCCTGGTCGTTGATGTTCTGCCTTCACTAACTGACAGGCTTGACATTTTGAAACAAAATCCGCCACATCCTTTTTCATTCCTGGCCACCAGAACCAATTCTTCATGTCTCCATACATCTTGCCACTTCCCGGATGAATCGTATAGCCTGAATGATGTGATTCGTACAAAATCTCTTTCCTCAAATCCCCAAACACAGGAATCCACAATCTGTTCTTGCAGAAAATAACACCAGAATCAGAAACTCGAAGTTCAGGCTTCTTACCAGATTCAATCTGAGTAATCAACTTCAAGTAATCAGAATCCGACTTCTGAGCTTCTTGAATCCTTTCTTCAAGGGAAGACTGAATGTTCATCTGAGTCAAAATACCAGAATCCACACCAGTAGAGGAAATCACCTCTAACTGTAATATTTTCATGTCTCGTATCAGATACTCATCAGAAGTGAGCTGAATACCTGATAAGCCAGAAGACTTCCTGCTCAATGCATCTGCTACCACATTAGCCTTACCAGGCTGATACTGAATCGTCATGTCATAATCCTTGATCAACTCAAGTCACCTTCTTTGCCTCAAATTCAGATCCTTCTGAGTGAATATGTACTTCAAGCTCTTGTGATCCGTAAAGATATCACATATGACGCCATACAAGTAGTGATGCCAAATCTTCAAAGCAAACACAACTGCAGCCAACTCCAAATCATGCGTCGGGTAATTCTTTTCATGTGGTTTCAACTGTCTCGAAGCATAAGCAATTACCCTACCATGCTGCATCAGAACATAGCCCAAACCTTTCAGTGAAGCATCATTGAACAACTGAAATCCTTCCGTACCTGACGGAAGTGCTAACACTGGAGCTGAAGTCAAACAATCTTTCAACTTCTGAAAACTAGCCTCACACTCCAATGCCCAAACAAAAGCTACTGACTTCTGAGTCAGTCTCGTCAGAGGCATAGAAATCTGAGAAAATTCCTTCACAAATTTTCTATAATATCCGGCCGTGCCTAAGAAACTACGTACCTCAAATACCATAGTAGGCCTTGGCCAATCAGCAACAGCTTGAATCTTCTGGGGATCAACAGAAATACCTTCACCGCTCACCACATGCCCCAGAAAAGAAATACTCTTCAGCCAAAATTCACACTTGGAAAACTTAGCATATAGCTGATGCTGCCTCAAAGTATTCAACACAATGCTATATATATTAAAAGAATTACACATGTCTTTCATTTTAACCATTTAATTAGAGCTTACCAATAAACATCGGAAATAGACATGATTATTTTTTTGTCTTGTCCGGAGCCTCATATCATATGATTACATTTTATGTAGTCAGAGTGGGGTTGAATTCAGTCTATGAGAGGGAGTGATGTACATTGTGTTAGCTATTCAGAAATGACAGCCTTACTTGCTGGTAACTATCCAAGTTGTTAGGATATGATTTCGAGATCCAATATACGCTAGGGCTAGAGAACAAGTTGGATAATGCCTTGTCCAGAGGCATGGGTGAGCTCCAGGAGTTAGTCATTTCGGTAGCACTGGTGTTGGATTGGGAGACTATTAAGGAGGAAAGTGTGCGAGAAGAGGAGCTAAGTGGGATTAAGGCAGATCTGCTGAGGGATGAGAGTAGCCACCTAGGCTATTCCCTAGAGGACGAGAGACTGTTGTACAAGGGGAGATTTGTGTTGCCACAGACATCGGTTCATATTCCTCACCTTCTGCAGGAGTTCCACGGGTGTACTGTTGGGGATCATTCAGGGGTGCGAAAGAAGTATAAGAGGTTGCTGACATAGTTTTATTGGAAGGATATCCATAAGGTGGAGGAGATGGTGGCTAGATGTGAGGTATGTTAGAGGAGGAAATACATGTCCATGACTCTGGGAGGATTATTGTAACCTCTAGCTCTTCCAGATAGAGTATGGGAGGAGATCACCATGAAATTTATAGATGGGTTACCTAGATTTGAGGGGTTTATAGTTATTTTGGTGGTGGTGGAGCAAGTATGCTCATTTCATTCCCCAATGACATCAATAAACGACAGTGACAATGGCAGCACCATTCATCAAAGAGGTGGTCAGATTGCATGGGATATCAGAGTCTATAACATCTGGACGAGATAAGGTGTTCCTCAGTTATTTTTTCAGGGAGCTATTCAAGTTACAGGGGATAGTATTAAAGAGGAGCACCGCTTACCATCCCAGATGAACGGGTAGATGGAGGTGATAAATGAGAGCCTTGGGACATATTTAAGAGATTTTGCTTCAGAAAAATCTCAGTTGTGGGTCAAGTGGTTGTCATAGGCAAGGCACTGGTACACACTTCATATCATTCTGCTTCACAGATGACTTCTTTCAAAGTGTTGGATGGAAAGGACCCACCTCACTTGGTGCATTTTGGGCAGAGTAGCAGACTAGTCTCTTTGATAGAGCAGTACTTGGAGAACAAGGATAAGGTGTCGGCTGATCTAAAAATGCATTGTTGAGAGCTCAGCAAATCATAAAGAAGCTGACAGATGGACGTAGAAAGGACATCCAGTTTGAGATAGGAGATAAGGTCTACTTGAAGCTTTGTCCCTACAGACAAATGACAGTAACTAACAGGAGGAATGAGAAGTTGGACCCGAGGTATTTTGATCCTTATGAGATAATATTGAGGATTAAGCTGTAGCTTATTGCTTGAAGTTATCTCCAACCACTACTATATATCCGGTGTTCCAGAAGTCCTCTAATCATTTCGTTTGGAGAAACTTTGCATGGTTTGGATGTTCATATTTGATCATCACTTCTTTAAATCACAATTAACTATCACAAACATATGATCTCCATAAAAATGTTTCAAGTAAATTAGAACTTACTAACAAATGATATTGAGCCAAATATAACATTTGTTTTATTTTCTTCCATAGAACATTTCATTTTAGATGCAAGGCTTAGCTGAATTAGGCAACATTGAACAGAAGGTTGAACATGATGCATCAACAAGTTGCATGAAATGATGTCCTTGTGGCTTGAAATTCTGTAACCATGAAGCTATGTTGGCTTAAACTAGGTATTCCTAATACTTCGCAAGATCCACAAAGGCATATTTTGGGAAAAGGGAGGGGGGAAGTTTATATTTGTAGGTGTAGATAGACTAAAAAAAAAGCGGCAAATAAAAAAAAGATTTTTACATACATAATATTTAAAATTATTAAAAATACATATTTAACACCTAAATTTCTATATTTACTAATATACAACCTAAAATCCTCATTTCCTTCTATTCTACCACTCCATTGAAGCGATGAAATATTTGTATTCACTGTGAAAGGATGCCATTGACAGGGAAGACAGACGCTAATAGTGATTTTTTATAGAAGTTTTAAATTGAATGTTAGAATTGATTAAAAGAGGGGTTTTAGGTGGTATATTAGTAAATATATAAGTTTAGGTGTTAAATATGTATTTTCAATAATTTTAGGTGTTATGTATGTAAAAATTCCTAAAAAATAATGTCATCTTTTAAGGGTGGATATATTCGACCGTTGGAAATCCCATTTCCCTTTTGGTTTTATATCTGACTTTGTTTGCTCTCTCTCTCTCTCTCTCTCTTCCATT